CCTATCGATGGGTCGAGCGTCCTGCTGGTGCAGGTGCTGTGTTCCAAGATTGTTGTTGTTGCTGCGGATCCTGCAAAAATTTTAGTGGTGTTGCAGGGTTGCGGCGGCGCGGTGGACGGCTTGCGGCGGCACACCTTGTCTGTCTCTATATACCCACACACACACACACGCACACGCACACGCAGACGCACACGTGCGAGCGCACGCAAGAGGCACACACACACGCGCACACACGCACACACACACACACATCGCAGGGGCGGCCCCCAAAACCCAATTCAAAAACCCCTCAAACCCTCTGCGCCCGCCAGATCAAATCGGAAGCGGCCACGCGTCAACGTCCCCCCGCCCCCGCCCCCCCACCTGCCCCTGAGTCAGCGCCGCCACCTCGCCCCCGGCGTCGTCGTGCCGTGCGAGCGCCGCCGGGCCGCGCGCCCAGCCCGCTGTATCAACCAGCTGCACCGCGAGCCCGCGCCACTCCGCCCACTCGCTCGTCGCGTCGCGCGTGAGGCCGGGTTCGGGGCCTGCGGGATCGATTGACCGCGGCATGCAACCATGGTGTGTTGTGGCCCGGCGTTCGTGCCATGTGCGCTGATAAAGGTGAATGTCGGCTCGACGGGACCTTTGGAACGCGTTGCAGCGAGGCTGGCCTGGCAAAGGGGTCTTCTCATGCACATAACGCTGCAGAGTAGGGTTGCCTAGGCGCCCGCCAGCCCGGCGTTCCACACCGTGGGCCGCGGGCCGAGGGCCCAAACCAGCGGCGGGGCCGCGCGACAGCGCGTCCCTGCCTGGGCTCGCACACATGCGCGAGATTGTGCGCGTTCACGTGTGCGTGTGTTTGCCAACCCCCACCTGTCAGCGCGCGGTCATAGCCCAGCAGCATGTTGAGCAGCGTGCTCTTGCCCGCGTTGGGGGCCCCCATCAGCGCCACCCTCAGAGGCCCCTCAGGCATCCGATACTCTGTCCCTGCTGCTGCCGCCGGTGCCGCCCCATCGCCGCCGCCGACGACGATGGACCCGTCCTCGGTCACCGAGATCGCCCCCAGATCGTCCAGATCGCCCGAAACCTCGGACGCCAGATCGCTCTCGTCGTCCTCGTCGCCGGCGGCGGGGACGCCCTCGGACTCCCGTATCGCCGCGAGCTGCCGCAGCTCCTCCGAGCTCAGATGGTTTTTCTCATGCCATCCCGGCCGCCCGCCACCGCCGCCGCCGCCCGCCGCCAGCCCCTCTGCCGCGGCCCCCTCCGTCGCCACTGCCTCCGCAGCCGACCCCTCCGCCGCCGGCCGCTCCGTCGCGGGCCCCTCCTCCACCCCCCCCTCCGCCGCTGGCCGCTGCACCGCCGGCCCGTTCTCCCCCTCTGCCGGCGCCGCCGCCGCCCCGCCCGACCCTTCCGCCGACGCGTCGGCGGCTGCCTCGCCGCCGGCTGCTGGCAGCTTCTTGGCAGCTGCCGCGTCGACGATCGGACGCAGCAGCTCGTATAGGTCGGCCATGCCCTCTCCCGCTGTCGCCGAAATCGCAACTGGCTGCCCCAGCCCCATACGCGCCGCCTCTGCTGTCCATTCGGCGACGCCTGGCACATGCGGCAGCAGCAGCAGCAGTGGTGCCGCGTGTGAGTGTGTGTGTGTGCGTGTGTGTGTGTGATTGTGTGTGTGTGTTCGGAGGGGGCAAGAGAGCTCATGACGCCGGGGCCCGCATGCGGCAAGCCGAGGGCATTTCTGAGGGACCGCAGGTGTGGGCTCACAATACGTCATGTTTTGTGATACAATACCCTGAATCGCGCCTCTGCAAAGCAGCTCGCCCGTGTGCCGGCCTTGCAGGGCGGGCCCGCGCTGGCGCGGAGGCGCGGCACTGCGGTTCCCGGGGGCCCCTCCGGCCGCCCAGGCGGCTGCGCCCCCGCACGCAAGCGCAGCCCCGCGCCGCACCCTGCTGCGCCTGCTTTGTCTCCGCCTTGTTGGCTACAAGCATCCGCTGCGGCGGCCCGCCCGCCGGCAGCACGCGCTCCAGCCAGCGCGCCAGCTGGACGTCCGCGGGCAGGACGCCCTCCCTGGAGGGAGGCGGTTGTTTGTGGCGGTTGGGGGGTCGTGTCAGGGAGGTGGGGGTTGCATAAAGCATATTGAGGCGATGC